GACGCGCGGAGCGGCGGGGCGGCGGACGCTCGCGGCCTCCTCGACGTCTACCGCCCCGCCGGGAGCTTCCACCGACGCGCGGCCGCGGCGCCGCTCGCTGTTGGGCTGCCCGCCTTGGGACCTGATCGGCCGGCGCCATGCTCGGCGAGAAGTACCACGACGAGCACGACCAGTTCGACCACCTCCACGTGTCGTCGCGGTCCGTGGCCTTCGACGAGGAGTACACGCTGGGCCAGGAGCTGGGCACGGGCGCGATGTCCGTCGTGCGCATGGCCGAGCACAAGCACAGCGGGCGGCGGCTCGCGGTCAAGTGCATCGCCAAGGAGCCGCTGAACCTGGACGACGAGGCGGCCCTGCTCCAGGAGGTGAACATCCTGCAGAAGCTGGACCACCCGAACATCGTGAAGCTGCACGCGTTCTTCGACGAGCCGACGATGTTCTATCTGGTGATGGACCTCATCGAGGGCGGCGAGCTCTTCGAGCGCATCGCCCAGAAGGAGTTCTACAGCGAGAAGGAGGCGCGGGACCTGATCCTGATCCTGCTCCAGACGATCAAGTACTGCCACGACCTGGGCATCGTGCACCGCGACCTCAAGCCCGAGAACTTGCTGTGCGTGTCGTACGACGACGACTCGTCGATCAAGCTCTGCGACTTCGGGTTCGCGGCGAAGCTCACGGGCACGCGGAGCCTCCACCAGCTCTGCGGCACGCCGGGCTACGTCGCGCCGGAGATCCTGAACCGCCAGCCCTACGGCAAGGAGGTCGACATGTGGTCCATCGGCGTGCTGACGTACATTTTGCTCGGCGGCTACCCGCCCTTCTACGACGACGACCACGAGCAGCTCTACGAGCGCATCAAGGCCGGCGTCTACGAGTTCCACGACGACTTCTGGTGCAAGATCTCCTACGAGGCCAAGGACTTCATCAACGCGCTCCTCACCGTGGACCCGGACGCGCGCGGCGCGGCGAGCGACGTGCTCCAGCACCCCTGGATCATCCAGGACGGCGAGAACATCAAGGGCACGTCCCTCCAGTCGAACCTGAAGGAGCTCAAGCAGTTCCAGGCGAAGAAGCGCTTCAAGGCCGCGGCCAAGGCCGTCATCGCGACGCACCGGATCAAGCTCGCGTTCGGCATCGGCGGCGGCAACAACAACCCGTCCAAGGCGCTCATGGCGGGCTTCAACGACATCTACGAGATCGGCCGCGAGCTCGGCACGGGCGCGTTGTCCATCGTCAAGCAGTGC